TGTGTTGATACTATTCAAATCTTGCGATTCTCTCTAAAGAAGTAATGGAGGTGATTGACTGATTGAATTGTAGACAACTGGCCTTTGATGCCCTGAAGAAGTTGATCTGGCGAAACATCAGATGATGAATGGAGAATAATATAGCACCTCGTAGTCTGGCTTGAGACTAGAAATCATTGAAATATGCCGAGATTAATAGTTAGTCGGTCTAGGGAATTATTCACCATGCCTTAAGATTTTTTGGGAGATAATGCCTTAGAGACTTATGTGGGAGCCACTACCTTAACGTCAAAACGCTTTCCGTTATGCTTTTGTGTTCTACGCTTGCTTATTCAAATACTTGCAAATTTTATCAATATCAGTGTGACTCAGGTACAACATCGGAGTAACGGAATTCACCAAAATGCCATTAATTATAGAATAATAAGTATTATGCTAGAAATAAACGCCTTGATCCGCTTACGTATTGAGCAAGCTGTCGAATCATCACAAAAGTTACAGCAAGAAAAAGCTCTTTGTCACAACTGAAACAGCGGAGAATAAAGTGAGCCGTACAAAAATCTTAACGCAGAGTCTTTTGCGAAGGACAGGAGTCATATGCGTTTTGTTTGGTTGTCATTATGTTTTATACTAAACATTAGCATTATTACTATATAAATCAATTACAGTAGTCATGCGTTGGTCATGTTTCGATATAGTGTTTTGCATTGTTCGTGAATATTTGTAAACTTTTCTCCTCTATCTCACCTGTACCGTTAATTCTTGAATGAATAGGTCAGAGTAAGAGTGAAACCTCCATTCTACCTTATCATGCTCAAGCGTGGTTCGGTGGGTTCTCCTCGCTATAATAATTCGCTAATCATCGCTTGTCGTTAGAGCGATACATGCCCCTCTCACTTAACTCGATAACCTGGCTTGTAGAACGACATTCATGACTTTCGATTGTTGGAAGAGGTTGGAAATTGGAGATGTTTTCTCTCACTCACGGTAATAAAATTCTCCCAACTTCGAGCTTTCGACTGCTATTTCAATAATAATGGGTGGTCAATAAAACCCTATTCACGTAATGGTTGTGATGTTTATATGCTTATATGTTGAGTTGAAATTTGGGCACGGAGTTCAAGACTCTTTCTTTTATTCAGCATATTTTAGATGCTTTCGAAAGCTCATTGAGTCACCCCTTCTTCCATATTAATTCTGGATGTAATTTCTTCATCATATAGACATCACTTACCTAAATAGACACATCTGGGTCATTCTGATAATACCGTTTTGTTCGGAGTAAATGGTAAAGCACCACCTGCCTCGGTTACGCAATTTTCCTTCTTGCTGTTGGTGCAGTGCATTAGAAAGATCTATATAGGAAACAAGTCTGGTATTAGAACTACTATTTTGCATGTTGTCTAAGATTATTGAAGCCCGAGTAAAGACACTGTGCTTGGCGATAAAGCCAAGCATACATGAGAGCAAAACACGTTGTACACTCCGCAGGCGGATCATAATTTTTCCTTCGTTGCTACAGCGCTCCAAATAAGCTCTCTCGGTAAAGAAGCCTAGCATTTGGATTGCAAATTTTTCAACTATCGAATGCTTGCTTATGATCTCAGAGAAAATATGTGCCCGACAAGATACCACGAAAAGCTTGTGTACCATTAATGGTGTACTTGGTCCCAAAAGGAAAACGCGAAACTTAGTTTCTCTTCGTCGTTACCACAGCAGAATAAGTACTTCATTCAGAAATTACGTTCCCAATTAGAACTGACGTTTACTAAGCTTTCGGATGACCACAAAACTTTAGTGAAAGAGCTTTATTTGGTGAGAAAGCCAATCAAACACTCGCGCAAGGCGCATTACACACTCCGAAGAAATAACGTAATTTTCTCTTCGCTGCTGCAGCTCAGTAGAAAACGCTTTCATGAATCAAACATAGTGTTAGACCTGCAAATTTTTCATCTATCGAATGCGGATGAGATTTTCAATGAGGAAGCTTTGTCTGGTGAAAAAGCCCGGCATACACGAACGGAAAATGCACTATACAATCCAAAAAAAAGTGTAAATTTCTCTTCGCAACTATAGCTCAATGGAAAAGCGTTTCCAAAAGAAGCAAGCGTATCTTTGGAACCGCAATTTCCTCAACTATCACAAGATCTGTGGTTGACGAAAAACTATGAAAAGGCGCGTGTACCATGAGTGGTACACGTGATCCCAAAAGGGTTCGATAAAATTTTTTCCACCTCACTCTCGACCGTCTATATACATCTCACTCGAAAATAATAATCTGATAGCATGATGACATGTTTTGTGCCTGCTGTTATAAGGTCTGATAATAGGCAGTTATACAGTGCCAAACAGGCAGGCGCCTGTATAGTCTTTCCACTCCTCAGTCTCACAGTCTCAATCGCTTCAACCGATCTCTTGGGGATATACTTCTATGTAAAGGAATCAACGTCGAATAATAGATTACATCAAGTCATGTGACAAAATCTACAAGTGCCATATCAGACCTCATAATAACAGGATCAAAACATGTTATCGAAGTATCAGATTAAAATTCTCTTCATCTGACCGCTTTCAGCATTTGCACGGTTTTATATTATACTCAGTGATGAGCGTGATGTGCAAGACTTTTGTTTCAGTCGTAACTCAAATCCGCATTTCACTCTTACCGGGAGCGCTCGCTCTAGCCCGTTGCTCTACTAACGGGTCGTATTGCTATCACTAAAGCTATGTTGGTGGTGAGTAAGCAGACAAGTGAATAAAAAAGCGTGCGGAACCATTGTAATGTCGCCCTATCGGTGGCCGTTATCTTGCTGAGCACTAATGAAGCCTAGGAGACCCTGAAATCTAGTCAGTCTGGGCAAAGGAGACTGGCAAGAAGAGAAACACTCATTCCATAGCCTGCATAGCGATGGATGACTGATTTTGTGACTACGAGGAACACTTTCTGAACGAACTGGAAGCATTCGAATATACACGTTCGCAGTTTTCAGGTCCAAGTCTGTAGATGCAGCAGTCAGGAGTTTTCATGAGGATATCCGTTTTCATTCAGAAATATCAGTGCTCATCTGCTCAAATAACATCGCCCTCAACATCACATCGTTCATCCAGAGGCGAATTTCGCTGTTTAAATGTTTTATATGTGGTCAGTTCTAATTTAACGGATTTTACACTCATGCTGATGCTGACTTAACCTACAAGATGTGCGATCCTGAGTCTCCATAGCTTTACAGGTGATTGAAGTAGGTGACCATCTTTCCACTAGTTACATATATCGTAATTATAAACGACTAAACTCGCCGTCGCTGAACGAGAACCTATGGAAGAAAAATGCTGTAGTAAAGAAAGTGAATAAGCAGTTTGTGTTGTTTGAGCCGGTCTTCCCACGCGAGACTTTTATTATCCGCTTCTGTTTCAAACTCCTCACATTTGGATTACCGTTTATTTTTACGGCAACACTAAGCACCAGCAACAAGATATATAAAAGGATTACAAACAGTGAGACAATGGAATAGTAGTTAAACAAATTACCAAGTGGAAGCCTAAATATAACTTCCATTATCTACTCCATTAAGAAATCAATTTAAGGCCAGAGTAAAAAAAAATTCAAGCTAAGGATGGAGATTCTAGATTACATACACATACACTGGTTGTCATTTCACATGAATGGATCAGATCCCAAATTAAGTTATATTACTATCTCAACACACCACAACATTTGGAGAGTAATCGGCTTTGATTTAGAAAAGAACTGAATAAAACAATAGTGCGAAAAAAATCATGGGACAATCCAAAACAACCATGCAATTTTTCATCCACCAACGTCTTATCTTGAGAAATTATTGTTTACTGTTACGATATCGGCAGCTTACCACAAATCAAGAAAAAGAAGAAGCCGTTATTGTTCTCAAATTACCTGATTTGAAAACTATGCACTAGGAAGATATTTTATCAGATTATATAATTATATGTTATAACTGTGGGTGACAGTTCAGATGACATCTCCTCCTTGGACCGTTCCATAGATCATACGTAAGAGTCGACTTCATCTAGGAGATTCACCTGTTTTGGCCCTAGAGCAGTAAACAGCAAAGTTATTGAGCAGAAAAAAAAAACCAAAACTGCACAATTTCGACATCGCTCAATTGCGCATTTTCTTGTGAACATCTTGGTGAACAATCTGCCTATTTTTCCGATGATGCGGATGTCTTGGGGACATTATCGTCGATTGCTTTTGATGCGCGGTGCGGCGCAGGAGGGGCTAAACAACACACTAACCCTATCCGGCAGTCAACAACAAACGTCCTATGGGACGCTGCAGGCAAGATCTCCAAGAGCTTACAAGGAGACGTGCTCAACCAGTATTCTACGACGTTGAAGAAAAAGACGAAAAAACGAATTGAGTGCTAGAGAGTAGTGGGATCCTCACAGTGAGTAAACAAACACGCTGAAAGCGCCAGAAAGTCTTGGGATCAAATCCGTTTGCTACTCACGCACGAATGACGCACAGGGGAAAATGCTAGTGAAACGGCGCGCAAGATTAATGGAGATTGGAGCGATGAAACGATTGCAGAAACGCACAGTGACGTGTTGAAGTGACGGCAACGAAGTGGTTCACGAAGTTCAAAGCTGAAGCTAACAGTCTGGAGATTCATTCGCGCTAAGGCTGTCCACAAAAAGCTCCATTAATCTTGTGCGCCGTTTCACTAGAAATTTCCCCAACGCGCCAATCGTGAATGAGTAGCAAGCAGATTTGTTCACGACAGCTCCTTTTTAGAGCAAGTATAGGTCAGATATGTACCGAAATATTCATAAGAAAATGCGCAATTGAACGATACCAAAATTACGCAATTTAAAATACCCATGAATCGAATTTCTAGTGTTTTACTGAACTTTTCATAGAGTTAAGATGTTTCATACATAACTAAAAGATTTGAGTGGTGAGCAACACGACCTCACACGGGAGGCTAACCCTTGCTTCATCCACACCGAGGAGGAGTGCTATCTCGGTGGTGTAGTGGTAGCACACTTCCCCGCTATAGATGAAACGCTGGTTCGACTCCCGCCTGAGGTCGTATTATTGCTCGTCACACAATTCTATTACTTCTGACAAAAAATCTGCCTATTGCTCAAATGTCAAAACGTATAAAACGATCCAATATTATTCACGCGGAAACTCACAAGCAGACTCTTTTCCATAGTAATGGCGAGCTGTACTGTATTGTTTACACGGCCTGATATAACATAAATAAAATAACTGAATTAAAGAAAATGTTGGAGAAGTGCAACCAACTATGCCATTGTTACAGATGTCAGAAGAATTAGGTATTTATTTGCTGGGTGGGAGACAAATTTTTAGGCCAATCTTATTCGCTGGAGAGGAAATTTTCATAGGAGTGTTAGTAAACATTAGATCCAAATCTCTGGCTACAACTCTATGTGCCGGCTTTTCAAAATAGCCTTCTATAACGCTATAGCATCGAACTTTGTTTTTCACTCGCCAATGACCTTTTTTTCATCCCGAGTACAAATCGCTGGAAGCACGAACAGCATGCTAGCGTATGGAGAATTTTCCCTAGTATCAGAGCAGTGCGTTACTACCTAGAGGAATGTTGGAGAAGTGCAACAAAACTATGCCATTGTTGAGGCAGGAGTAAAAAATCCTCAGTAAAATAACAATAGTTGTCAACGTTTGAACGCATAGTGTGTCAGATCACTATCGAGTTACGAGGTGGATCATTCGTTTAATCCACTAACAAGTCGTCGGTGTGGCTTGGTTTCGTTTCACATATTACTTAGTTATAAACCTTTTCGGCGACTTCCTTTACTGGCCAACTCACAGAGCGCGGATGACCAATCGCTTTTGAAATACTGTTATTCAGTTGAAGATTTTTTCACCCCATCAATAGAAACTTCTGATAAAAACGAAGATTCTAATAGTATGAAAAGCTCTCTGGAAGCTGACATGCTTCTCGTGCTTCCAGCATTTTATACGCGCGATATAAATGAAGACGAAAGGTGAGTGTGAAACAAAATCTTATTTCGGATGCTGGTGTTATAAAGGGTATTTTAAAAGACCAGCAAAAAAACCAGAGCTATAGCCAGAGATCTGGACTTTCTTATGATTAATAACGCTCTCTTGAAAAGTTAATGCACAGCGATCAAGAATAGCTTGAAAATCTATAGCATAAGGAAATCAACTCGCACCCGTGTGCATAGCATTCGATCCGCATTCGATGTCAACGGATCATGGATAGCATTTTTCGCTCGTACCATATTGTCAATTTCCTTGACGAATATTTCCTGAACGTTAGGAGGTCGAAACATTCTGTGGTACCTAATGCAAACATGGGAGAGCACGTGTCGTCACAAAAGTCAACGAGCGATCGGTCAACTATGACATATTCGCTGACTAGATCAGAGATTTTCATGGTCTTTGAGCCTTTGACCAGACTACAAACACTTCACTCAACGTTTATTTCCGCCACTTTGACTACAGATACACGGAGGTCGACAGAAAATCTATAGAAGGATTGGAATGATGACAAAGTGAATACTAAGCGCACAGCCCACAAAATTCCTGTATCAGACTTAAAGGTGAAAGGAATGGTGATTAACAGGCAACATACTTTTTCATACAGACAGAGATACTCGACATGAACATCATATTTACAAGAAAGAACAACGAGATGTTGTTACGTAGAAAGTGAAGCACAAAATCAAGCTTCAAACAAGGAAACTTACACTCATAGTTTCGAATCTCCTCGCTTTTTCGTAGACTATAAATTTGAGTGAAAAAAAGCGTCATAATGAAAGTTCGAAGGTCTGAGAGTTATGCGCAGTGGAGACAAATAACTAACTCAGTATTCCACAGAAGCCTATTTCCGTTTAGCTAATTGAAGAAAGATTATACTCGTAAGAGCGGAAGGCTATTCTGTGCCTGCCCTCGAGTACAGTTAGGAAATGCCACAAACCACTCGGCTTTGCTTTCGTAAAAAAAATAAAATAGTTCACAAAAAATGATAGCAGTCTGAACAAGATTAAGGTTTATTTGCGGTCTTGAGATGAGCACGCTGGTCTTCTAATCGTCCAGCTTGCAATCGCATAACCATTTCCGACAAATCGTCTTCAGCACCATAGTCCTCGAGTGAACCTGATAACTTTTAATTTCGAACACTCCGGCAAGGCAAGACTATTCACTAGAAATGTGATGTTTGATGACATACTACAAACGACTGGAATATCGCTGTTTGCCATGAGATCGGTCGCTGGTCATCAGTTCTTAGCTCTTGTGCATTCATTAACAAGTCAATGAGTACTTCGTCTACCTTCGCATCATCGCTCTTATCAGAAGCAGATCTGTATCAAAAAAAGTGTTGCTAACACCCAAGCAGGTTTTTTCCGATTAAGAGAGAACAAGTGAAAAACCGCTCTCATTCAGTGGAGAGAAACTTTCTAGAGGAACACTAGTAATTATTCAAAAGTTGAGATTTGAAGCCACAGTCCCACGCCGCCGATTCTAAACACCCCTCTATGACGCTGTAACCCTCAAAATAAAATCATATTCCATAAAGCCACTGTTTTTTCTCTAATCTCGCATATATTACGCTGGACAAAACCTCTTCATTAGAGTGTTGGTATTCAAGCTACAGCACAAGCTTCATAGAACTCAAAAATGTGTTTCTCTCAAAAAAGTTCTCTTGATCTTCTGATCTCCTCCGGTCTTTTCATTTCTGCTTCGAACCTCGCATCACAGAGTTGTTTCTTCAAACTATCAGTAAATATCTGGTAGCGTAATGTTTTCTGATTCTAGCGATGTGCTTATTTTATACAAATACGGTAACACAGGGAAATAAGATCGAGTTTTACAGTTGGCAACGCTGTATACCAGCTATTCGACAAAGCGAGGGCTGTGGCACAAGCTGGGCGAGGCGGGACGACCGATAAATCATTATTCAAAAGAAAATTTTTCTTGCGCTTTGAAAAAAACTCCAGGTAAGACAGCTAACTGAGATTCTAAAAGATAATTCTACACATGATATACTTTCGGCTTCCAGCGAGTTATACGCGCTATAAAAATGAAGGTAAAAGGCGACTATGAAACGTAGTTTCTGATCTGGATGCTACACCGTCATGAAGGGGAGTTTCGAAAAACCAGCGACGTGGGGCTGTACACAAAAAATTCGGCTTCGAAATGGTTACTACTACTCCTATGAAAAATTGCTCTCCAGCGAATGAGATCGGTTTTTCATTTGTTCCATCCTAATCAGAATATATCCCTGCTGAGAAGAAATCTATAGAAGCTTTCTGGTACTTGGCGTATTCAAAAAATTTGTGAGAATCTCCACAACCAGTACTATTATATTGTGACATGACAACAAAAAGAATAAACGATCAAATATCATTTTCCAAAGATAGCCAGCTTATTATATCTACCGCTGTCACGCTGTGAGCATTATATTAAAATCACAACAGTCGTTTACGAATGATGTGAAAATCATTCACATTCCCCACTCATAGCAAAATATTGAAAAACACTTCAGTTTAGAAACTGAACACATGTAAATCGCTTAGCTTGCCTGTCTGACAGCAAATAGAATTGAAGCGAAAGAGCAAAGCGAAAAAGACAGCAGACAATTAGCAAAAGATGTAAATAATTGAAGAGTTTTCCTTAAAATATCAAACAACTCACCTAAGCTTCTCGATAAATTCCAGAGTTTGTCTCCTCCTTGTTAAACCAGGAAGAAGCGTTGCTCTCTGGTCGTCCAATCTCCGGCCTTAAGTGTCCATGAGTAGATCAATAAGTGCCTCTGGAGCTTCTGAAGTCGAAAGTTCACTCCAAGATCTTTATCGAACTAAACTGTATGAAGCAGTGAAATTTTTACTCGAGTATCGCTATCGACCCCGACAGAACTCAACGGCAACAGATGTTAGCGCATCCAAGTTCTGAACCTTCGAATAAAGTGCTTAATAAGTTAATGGAACATATTTCACCGGTAGTGATGTCATATGGCAACTCCAATTTGTTTTCCTGTTGTGACAACAAGCCCGTTAGCTGACGGACTTTCTCAAGTATCAAAACATGTACTCCTCTTCTCCACATCCGTTGTTCAATGTTAGAATCCATTAAATGTTTTTTTTCTTGAAATCAGTTGCTATTTTGAGAATAAGTGGAAAATTCCTCATGAGAAAAAATACGGGAAAGTGAGTCAAACAAATTACATTCCGTTGATATTTCAGACTAAATGAGAAGCGAATATTTGAAAACATGCATAGTGCAAACATTTTCAGCATGCTATAATATTAAGCAAGCAAGTAGGAGAAAATGAAGTAAAAATGCTGAGAAAATTCCTATCATATTTGAAGACTATCTACCGATTAACCGGCCCGACTTGGCATGCATAAGGCAATTCGTCGTTAAGACATTTCCAATCCGAGTTTGTCTTAGCATTCGTTAGAAACAAAACCTAGAATGTTGAGATGTCTCCTGTTTGCAAAGCTTCAACCAAGCCATACAAAAATAGAGCTGATGAAATCCCAGATAACTTTAAAGCATTACGCTGTAAAAATCGATCACCTATATAGAAGATGTGAGCAACATATTTATTTCTTATATTAATGCACCGCTTTCCAAGAGAAAAGTTCGCTCTTCTTCTACAGGATGATGCAAAAGTGATTACGAGCTTAGCAACTACGTTTATATAGCTGAGAGAATTGAGTGGCGAGCAAAAACAAGACCTTAGGTGGGGGTCGAAGCCGCGTTTCGGTCATACCGAGGACGCGTGTTACTCCGGTATGGATGGTAAACACCGGTTTTACTCCCGCTGAGTATGAAACATCATAACAATGCGAAAAATGCAGTAAAAATACCAGAAATTTCCAGTTTTACCCTATGTTTATTTTAAAATCTCGCAATTACTCTCGATCCATCGAATACAATGAGAATACGCATTATACAACAGCTGAATTGCATTCAAGTTCGGAAAGCAGCATCAAAATTAATGTGATTCTTGAAAAATCCTTTTGAATTGATAAGTTGGGAAGAAAATATAAATAACACTAGGTTAGCTAAGT